TAGCGAAGGCTGCATGGAGGAGCAGAGAATCGGGCAGGCCGGCGAGCAAGCGGACTGGCTCGGGCAAATACCAGCAAGCATGGCGTACGGCTGCACGAGGGGTAGATTGGTCCGCTCCGCACCCTGCGATCAATAAACCCACCGAGAGGGAGCAGCTCCGTGACGAGCAGCACTATTCCGTGCTTTCTCTTCTCTCCTCTCCTTTCTCCGCTTTTCCGTCTCTTTCCCTATCCGATTCGTTCTCTTCTTCCTACCTGACACGATCGTGCTATCGGTGATTCAGCACGTGCACGGTGTTTCACCGGTGGTTTCGAAAAACAGCCGGCAACGTGTTCCAAGGATTACCAAAGAATCGACGGAACGCCGAAGGCTTCGCCCAGTCTTTCGTTTCCCACACGTTCGCATCTTATGTCACTTTTTTCTTTTTTTTTCTTGTCAGTTTTCGTCCACTTCGTCATTTAAGAGTCTGCTTAATTCATTGACTCGTATGAATCCTTACCCGAAAATATGGTCCCTAGCATCCTCGCCACTTTACGCAGATTGCAGCATGGTTTTTGTTAAAGCTGTTCTCCATGCTGATGATTCTCCTTTGCGCATTATTGTTTTTGTTAGCGTAGCTTTATGCTAGACGCTTATCCGTTTGCGTTTTGATGTTTACAGGCAGTAGCGTATTGGTCGTATGAGAATGTAGAAACACAGGGAACTATTAAGTACGACCGATGACGTGTATGGCTTCCGTTCAACAGCTTGCGTGGGGTTCGTAGTCACGCATGCTGATTTTTCACGCAAGCTTAAAAATATTCGGGGCAATCCTCGCGTATCAGGCCAGGCGCTCCGAATAAACCAGTCGGCCTTGAACCCTACCCAAGGGTCGTGCAATTCAGATGTGCTCACTGCATGCGTAGGTGGGGACCCGCGTGAATCCTCCACGCAGACGGGAAATGATTTAGGACGTTGCGGCGTCCATTGATTTCTTTTGCGTTGCATCCGGAGTGACAGGACCTCGGTGTGACTGCTGCGATCCGTTTCGTACGCCGCAAGTGCGAAAGCTGTACGTTCAGTTGCGTGTTTTTCTGTGTGACATCAGGTGAGAATCAGTGCGATCAAGGAAAACAGGATCAGGATGTGGCGCGATCCTCCAGGCGGAGGGTTTAAAATACCCTCCTGTATTGCAACGATGCTTCTCTTGGCTATCTTGGGATTGACGAACGGTGAGTTAGAGAATTGTCACGGTTCGTAAATAACCAGTTACCGGATCGGAACAATTCGATTAGATAACGTTATAAATAGACTGTGAATCCTTGCTTATCGAATGTAAATCTTTATAGATTAACTTTCAGAAAATGATATAAGATAAACTTATTTGGTGCACTTTCGTGTTCATCTATATATGAAATAAAACTTCCTTGTTATTTTACTAAATTTTTTAATACGCCACACTTCAAACAACCAAATATATTATTATAGGTAAATAAAATTTAAAATCTAATTATAAAAGAAAGGAGAAGAATTAACAAAATCATTGAAATAGTTGAAGAAGTAACTAAAATGCATTAATGTTTTTATTAATTACTAGTAAAATCATGCATTGCGTGCAAACAGTTTATCTGCGAATGATTCCTCGCGTCTGTCCGTTTAAAAGAGGAAGTAGCCTCTGCACGGAACACACTAACGACTCGCAAGCGTGCGTTGTTGCATTGTATCTTGCCTATCTAATCGTTTATGCATTGAGAACGTATGACGCGCTGCAAGCCGCGAAGTCGGCAGCTGACACGGTAATTCATCTTTCGCTTAATAATCTTCCGGACGACACGTTCCTTATATACTGAATCAATAAAATGGCTAACGTCGGGCGATTCGTGGAATCTTGTAACTGCTCCAATATCTGTCAACGTTGCGCGATCATTAAAGTAGTGAAAAGGGGCTGGTTTTCATTGGGAACGAATGCATTGACGTCACAGGCTCAACAAGATTCCCTCAAGCTTCGATTTTTCAGGGTACCTTGTACCTCAATTGTGAACCAGAAGCATCTGTGCAAAGTAGATCGATGCTCGTTAATTTTCAGCGTTAATGATCCTGCTTCTCTCAAAGGCTTACGTCACGAACTTCGGCACAGATTTCGATGCTAATTTTTAGTAGATAACTGAACGATACATAATCATGGAAATAGTGAATCACAATCTTTTAAGTTTGACTTGTTAACCGGAAAAGACGAGTTAACTCATCATCGGCAAGATTTTTATTCTCAATAATTCTCGTATGCCATTTCTTTTAGTGTCAATTAAATTATAATAACAAGTTTAATGCATTAAACTGCTCCAAATAATTTTTAACCCATTTTTAAATATGCTTATATAGATTTCATAGTCCAAATCTCAGCCGATTAACAGGTTGAATGTGCTAACTGTTTAGTAATGACAGTACACCCCGAAAAGAACATGCTGCTAAACATACGGTAAAAGGTGCTAACGGTTTTAGCGGTTTAGCGCATCCCGCAGTAAATGTTACACAACTTTTACCTTCTGTCCAATTTCCAAGAACAATTTCTTTCTATTGGTGAAAAGGAGGAAAGGCGGATAGAAAATCGACATTGCAGCTGTCGATGCAATCTCCAGTCTCGGTTCATTTCAAATCCATCGCGCGCCGTGAAAGGTCCATGGGGCGTAGGTAGAAGCGGAGCACGGCGTGCAGCTGCCGAAGAAAAGACCAAGAAAAGGGGGGTTAGGTCGGAGGAGGGAACCGAGGGAAAGGAACAGCTGCTGTTCCCAGAACGGATGCTCGGTCTTGAAAGAGAAACGTATTTTGCCGGAGCAGCGTGAAGCCGCCAGGTGAATCTTCTGATTTTGCGGCCATCATGCTTGGCCACGAGACTCAGAGATGATTCAACGTCAGTTAAAATATCTTCGAGTTGTTATATATGGAATGTGTAAATCTCGTATCCGATGATGTCAGGTATCCTTAGAATCTAGAATGGAAGAAAATCTATACCAGTGGTTCTTAAACCTGTCGAAGTCACCAAGCACGTTTAGTTACATCTATAAGAGTTTGAGGAATAGTAAAATTTACACGTTTAACGATGAAAACAAGTATGCACATATCTTTTATTCAAAATTATATGTACAGTATACAATGTACATGTACATTATACCCATTTTCCCATAGAACTTCTTATGATGTGCGATTTTGTGGAATACTTGTAACAAACTCGCGAAACACCGGTTTAAAAACCACTGATCTACATAGAAGATCAATGAAGCTTATCCGAAAACGGTAAAATACGAACGATCGGGCGAACCAAATCCACATTCCGACTAGCTCAGGAATTTCCCCCGGCTTCCTGTCAAGAGTATTTTCATCGACGTCACGTTTCCCGCCTTAGACAGTGCGCTTATCGCTCCTGACACAGTTACAGCTCCACTCAGCACGTATTACATTCATTAAATTTGAAAATGGGAATATTGCACGCCGCAACGCAGCGTTGGACACACTCGATTCGCGGCGACCGCGTGGTCCCCGAGCTTTTCAGGACTCTCGATTATTATGATCGTCACGATCTATCCAGCTCCAACACGCGTAAACGCGGTCGTGAGTCAGACGCGTAGCGTTCCACAGACCAGTGGATGTGGGATATACGACTATATTATAGAGGCGTGCGTGCGTGCGCGAGCACGTTTGCTAGAAATGTATTCGATGCAGCGTGTCCGGACGTTTCAAAGCTTGACTATATATAGATTATGGGCCGGTTATCGACCGCGAAGAATCTCGTCTTTGATCGTGAGCGCGTAACGTTGGAACTTCACGAAAAATGCTTCAGGACGATCGGGTCACTGAACAATGTGCCTTCGACCTTTCTCGCGGCGTCCATTCGCGTCGATGTTAATGAACACGATGTTCATTCAGCTTCGCGCCAATCAACGAACTAGGTCCTAGAATTCTTTTACAAAATGTTTAACCCTTTCACTAAAATGGATGAGATGTCTCGGTTTCACAATGTCGAAGAAACGATACTATGGATGAAATATCTTGTCACCATGATAGTATCGTACGTATGACATTAATGATGACAAGATATCTCGTGCATAGCATCGTTTTCGCATCATCATGGAACCGAGATATCTCGTTCATGTAGCGAAAGAATTAATACTGAAACTGCAATTACTTTCCTGTAAATTCGTGTAATTCACAGAATTCGTAGAATTCTGTAATTAAATTCGCGCCGTGGTAACGAGTCCGAAATAGAAACGGGAGGAAGGAGATCGGGAGGGCAATCTTTGCGCAGTTCGAGTCCCGATACGACAAAAGTTCGGAACACCTGTTCCCTCGTACCTGAGCACCTCCTATCGTTTGCCTTGGTTGGCGTGTGTACGGTTCACCAACCGGTTCTCTTCGTAACTCGATTTTACGGCGTACTGTGCTCGCGCTTATCCGTCCACGCCGCGGTTAAATCGGTAGGCGGTTACGCGGGAAGAAAGTGGCACAGTGAGCTCTTGTATAATCGTAAACACGCGTAAACCGACTGAATATGGATCTAAGAATAAATCGTGCCTTGAACGGCGTCGGTCAGTACGAGAAAACCCGCTATCGATCGTTTATGGACGATGACACTGATCTAGGGATGCGCGGGTAGTCCGACGTGTCGGGTAGTATAAAGTTGGAAAATGAACATGAAGTGTTACATTCATAATGTGACTAATCGTGTACGCTTTAAGACAACTGAAATGAAAAATAAAAGATACGGGAATTTTTATTAAACGAAAGTAATTTTTTTATGGATATTTATTCGATACAGAAAAATACTTTTGGAAATGCTGAAAATGCAGGAAGGAAGTAATATTTAGGTATCGCAATGTTAAAGAAAGGAATAGATTATTTCATTTATACAATATGCCACTGTACGCATAATTTCGCGATTTTATGACTCCCCTCACATTGTATTTCTATTCCTTACATTTCGTGGCCGTTATTCATTACTGCGGAGATTTTCAAGGAAGAGCAATAGCGATGAGTTTTTATCCAATGAGAGTGAAGACAAAATGGCCTCCACAATCCCACGTGTCTCGCTGAACTTTCCAAGTTTCGCGAAGTTACGAGAACAATACTGTGCACTTTCAAACTGCGATAAAGTAAAAATTCAACACACTTTATATAAAATGAATTTACAGCTTATGTAGAATAAAGATCCGGATAAAAGCAGAATTCTTATTTGCAAGAAAGATAAACAATTTCTAGAATATAAAGTTCATTCGGAACAAATCTGCGACAAGTATTATCTTTTTCACATGTAAATTATGTTATTCGATACATTCATATGATTAAAGTTCGCCGAAAGTCTTTGTCGAGCACTGGAATACCTAACAGAGGTGGGTTTTTCGAGAGCAATACGTAATATAAACGTAGTACGATTTATTTCAAACGCAAGCGTGAATCGAATTAACATTCTTGTCCGATAATCTGATTTTTTCATAATTTCGAGTTATCCGTACGTTTGTATATAGTGACCCTTTCGATCGACAGTCCGATCGAACCTACGCGTCACCGACAAATGTTTTGTGACGCGCGATGGATGCAACCAAGGATCGCGGACGCTCGTGACGGAAAAGGAATCACGCATTACCGTCTCCCTTATGGTCACATGACGCTGATAGCATATTATTCAATAGCAGACCGGCAACCTGTTGTTTGCTGCAATTGGCTACGCGCCAATTGAACGTGGGTGTCGCGTATCCTGGCGGAGACGGACGATAAATGAAACTAAAAGACACGCAACAAAAGTTCCGTCGCTGGTGACAGTTTGGACTAATTAATCTCTTGGCGTCCCCCAACTGGTTCCTTACGAGTCGCCGCGATCGCGAGAAATGTCCGGAACCGTTGAATCAGCTTGCGTGATAAAATTTTTCTCCTCTCTTTGTTCACAGTGGCTTACGCTGAGGATGCTTCCATGGGACCGGTATTTGTCAAGGAACCACCAAACCGAGTTGACTTCTCAAATGGAACCGGAGCTGTCGTCGAATGCCAGGCTAGAGGAAACCCCCAACCGGATATTATCTGGGTTCGCGCCGACGGAAGTGCTGTAGGGGACGTTCCGGGACTTCGTCAGGTACGTGTATTTTTAGTTTGTCGAAATATTCCAGGCGACCATTCTTATGAAGTGACGGATTTTGGTGACAGGTTGAGTCTACATCTAGTATTTTCCTATTTGCATTGGCTTCGTTGATCAGCCTTTGATAGACTACCATACGGTCAAACTGTTCGGATCGATCGCGCTGCAGGTCGACAACCCTAACATTGAGATAGTGACATCGTATTCAATCACGAAGCAATGTTTGTGAAAATATCTTCAATACATAAGAAGCTACATTTTCTAACTATTAGTAGTATACTGCATATTTAGTAAATCATTTTTACATCCACACGCTACTTACATGAAAATATTCACCGATGGAAGAACAATTAATTAGTGCGATTGTATGAAACTTTTATACGTTCATAGGCCTTGGTAACAATACTATTCATTGAGAGGCATTATACGCAACACCTACTCACCATGGCTATAAAACGAGAGAAAGATTGAGAGTATCCGATTGTTACTGTTTATGAAACTCCCACGCTGCAAAAGAAATGAAATGCCAATCGTTGGATTCCAGATTGGACTTCCTTTTCTCGCGAGCGGTCAACCGCGTTTATTAATACTTCCCACTATCGGACTCTTTGACTCCCACGGGTCGTGTGTTTAACGATGCAACGAACGATCTTACGTCAGTGGTTCGGGCGAGAAGGCCGGATTAATTGTCGCCTAATTAACGATGAATTACGATTCGTCTTGATGACAAAGAAAAAATTGGTGGTTGCGCAGGTCTTGCCGAATGGAAACTTGGTATTCCCACCCTTCCGCGCCGAAGATTACCGTCAGGAAGTTCATGCTCAGGTTTACAGCTGTTTGGCACAATCACCAGCAGGATCAGTTCATAGCCGAGACGTTAACGTGAGAGCCGGTAAGTGTTATCCTCTTACTTGAATTCCAAAATTACTTGGACCACCTTCGCCGTTGCCTGGTCAGCTATTTGCTTACCAAACAAAGTAACAAGATGATCTACACGTGACTGTGTTTCAATAAAATATAATGTCGAGATCGAGCGTCTTACCTTTGTCGAAAATTGAGATGTTCTATTTTTGCTAATTCTTCTATTTCCTTGGAATATTTACTGCAATAGAACTCACGTTATGAATAAATTCTTCAGTAATACAAGTTTTCTAGAGTTTTATATTTTATTACTTTAGCCTCCCGTTTTACTTACATTTGCACTTCTGATGATGATATAAAATTGGATTTAATAAATAGAAATATAATTCAATTCACATCAATCAAAGACAGATACTATCTGCCGCTATGGATATTTATTTAAAGCTGCCAGTAAAGATAATCTACAGCGAATGTAGAATTTATTGCTGTTCTTGGAAAATAATTACAAATAAATAACACTTGTGCAGATAGTTACCGAGGAAACTATAAGACAAGAGTTTAATGGTCAGGTGTAAATACTTTAAAAATTAGATTTTGCATTCGTAGACTTTGGTATCTCGAGCGTAGCATCATTTCTTCAACATCGTAGAACCGAAATATTTCGTCCATTGTAGCGAAAGGGTTATTACTGACATTGCAATTACTTTCCTGTAAATTCGTATAATTCATGAATTCGTAGAATTCTGGCTCCAAATGTCACAAATTAAGGGCTTAAACGGCGACGACGATAAGACGTTTGAAGAATGGCCAGGCACGGCGAATTAATGCATCTTCTTTTCAGCAAATCCGACCGAACAGCGACTGAGTAAAGTTTCCCGAATTTGGGTCAGTATTTCGTTTCAGTCAAAGTTCCGATATTTCTAGCAAGCGTAGCGTACCGGTCGCAATTATCACAGTTCTATGAATCTCATAGCAGATTTAGGTCCGGAATAAAATTCCACGTAATCGCTGCCGCCGCCGTTGTTTGCGATAATATTTATACGCTCTCCAGCTTCTGTCGGTTGGTCCAGCTCCGCGTGTGCCGTGGATCGATACGCGTAACTGGGACATCCTTGTCGCTCGGCAATTTCGCTGGAGAATGCCGGCGATGATCCTGAAATTTCATCGATCACGATCCGCGCCCATATAACAACGGTGACCCAATTGTCGTGATCGGAACGAAAAGCCCTGGGCCGGGGAACGATTTAGAACGAACTGAATAAAACGCGTAACGAGGGGCTGGAGAGCAGCGTTCGCTGCCGCGAAATCACGTTTTCAACGCGAGTCTGAACGATCTACAATATATCGCAGTGGTGGCGCAGTACTACGACACTGACGTGAACAAGGAGTACGCGATCTGTGGGAACAGTGCCATTTTGAAATGCGTCGTTCCTTCTTTCGTTGCTGATTTCGTGAAGGTTCTATCCTGGCAGACCAATCAGGGAGACGAGTTCGTGCCCGGCGATGATTACGGTACCAGATCGATGATTCGCTCACAGAAAACGATTTGTCACCGTTTCCGCGAGCAGATCGCCGCGTATGCGGTAAACCAGTAATTCGGTTCGTCGAAGACGGAAATTTTGAATGGCGAGGAACGATCGCGTGCACGACGCCGATGAAACACGATGTCGCCCAGTCGCGTGGAAACAATTGCCACGGCATACGGAATCCGTACAAAATACAGCGCTGGACCGAAAGCTGTGCTCGGTCACTCTTCGCATCGCGTGTAATCGTTGTATGCGCGCACGCGAAAGCGTCGCGCCCCTCGTCTCATTAACATTGTTCCCGGCTCGTCGCATTCACCGTGGCTCGTAGCGAGCCGAATAATTGGAGCACGTCGTCGACATCGACGTAGACGTCAGACGTGTCTCGCGCCTCCTGTCTCTTTTTCTCTCATTTGTCGCTGTCTCTTGTCTCGTGGTATCCGCGTGACGGCACATGCGTAGAAACGTATCGCGTATGCACGGCAGAGTTAAAGTGCACCCGATCGTTTGCCGGCGCGTCTCTCCTCGCGGCTGCGAGCTAGTTCCCAGCTTGCGGCTGTGGCACAAAATGCGACTACGCGGATCGATCTGCTCGCGAACGGCGAACGACGACATGTCCCGCAACCGAGAGATGCTTGGTCGTCAACGTCGTGCGTCCGGAATACACGCGGGGTCCAGGTATTCTCGGCCAGAGATCGAGTTACATGAAAACCGCGTCATGATGCGCGCCACCGGACTCGGGAAGACAGCGAGAGATCGATAATGCCACAGCTATTTCAGATCTTCAGCAGCTATCGCGGTTGCTAACCGATTGCCGCGTCATAGGGACGCTGTAACGCATACGTAGCAAAGGCGCGCGGCCGGCCGCGCGTTCGAACGCCTCCGATTATCAGCGCAAGACCTCTAATTGTAGTGGTGCACCAGTATTATCAGTCCGAAGTCAACAACGAGTACGTAATTCGCGGCAACGCGGCGATTCTCAAGTGCAGCATACCCAGCTTTGTCGCGGAGTTCGTTCAAGTGGTCGGCTGGCAGGACGACCAAGGAAACTTTTTTAATCCGGACGAAAAGAAAGGTAGCCTAACGGTGGGATGGATAGTTGTACAGGATCGAAATTAGGCAGCGGATTCGCTACAATATTAGTCAACGTCGTATGACACGCGGAATCGCGAAGGGGTGCCCGTCGAACGAAGGATTTCGCAACTGGAATTGGCAAACGGACTCACAACCGTACCGAAGCTTGTTACGTAATTCTTATCGCTTACTTTGTCTGAGGCTTCTGGGGTATATACTGTCACAGGAGCTTCGTCGTATAACGTTGAATGCGGCATTCAAACATTCATCGGTCCGAGACACGCGCAGTTATTTCGAAGACGTTTAATCAATATCCGTACATTTAAATCGGCCCATTGATCCGCTATAATGGTTCGAGGGGCCCTCGAATGAAAGAACGAAAGAATAAGTCGAAAGTGGTCCGCTCGCAAAGTACGCGTCCTTTGATGCGGCACCATTTATTCCGCTCTCGCGCCCAGAAACCTCAGACATCAAGTGCCCCGGAAATCCTGAAGAGTCCTTTACGCAACGCTTATCGCACACCCCTGTTTTCCCTAGTCGTAACACAGTACTACGAGGCGGAGGTCGTGTCCGAATACGTGATTCGCGGTAATGCAGCCATCTTGAAGTGCACCATACCCAGTTTCGTCGCGGAATTTGTGTCGGTTGACTCCTGGGTGGGAGGCGACGGTTCGACCTTCAAACCGTCCAACGACTACGGTACTACTCTCCTGGCCCCTGCTCTTTTTTCTGTCTTCTTCATCCTCGTCCCTATTCATCTTCCCCTTCCTCTCGCGTCGTCATCCTAGATTCCATCTCCGTAAACGTCGAATCCCTCGAGGCCTCTTCTTTTTCTCTCCACCGGGCACCCCCGTACCCCGCCAAACTTGGTAAAAGTTCAAAGTGGCACGTGGTAACGATTCGTTTCCGGCGCGGTCCAGTCTGGCGGCAGTTGTACGGCGGCGGCAACGCGACGGGTTAATGAACCATCCGCCGCGACTCTCACGCGGCGATTCTATCGCTCGAACTAAGGAAACAAACGGACCAAGAATCGCTCGCTCGGACACACTCGAATCGGACGCTAATCCGCAGTGATTCACCCGACGAGATTGCAGAGAATGCCATAAAATGTTGGAATTGAATCTAAAACCGGAATACTGGATAGAATAATGAATCTTCCCGATTTGCATACGCGAGCGATCTCCTTTAAGCGCGGACCAGGCTGAAATACGGGCGAGTCCGACTTCGCCGGCATCCATAAATTTCCGTGATTCGGTCGTTCGCCAGTGATTCCGCGGGGAATCCGTTGTTTTTAGAAAGCACTTGGCCAGTAGTCTATTTTGTACCCAGTCGTCACGCAGCCGTATCAGCCAGAAATTCTCACGGAGTACGTGATCAGGGGCAACAGCGCGATCTTGAAGTGCAGCATCCCGAGCTACATCGCGGAGTTCGTTACTGTCGAGGCGTGGATCAGGGAGGACGGAGAAGTTTATCTTCCCGAGGATCCTGCTATCGGGCAGGGTACTAAAATGGGTTCAAGTTAATCGGGGTTAGACACGCCTCACGGCAAATTCGCTCGTTCGTTCAGTCGACGAAGCGAGTCAGCGGGACCTTTGCTAGGCATTACGATTAATTCACCAACGGATTTCATTCGTTCCGAGAACCGTAGTCGAGTGGCAAACGCGGAAAGGAGGGACGATAAAAGCGACAAGAATCTGTGATATGCTACTTTGAAGAGTCACGCTCCATGGAGACGCGGAGCGTCGCAGAATCGTTGGCACGAGCGGACTCGGTGCCCTGAGGCGTGTCGTCTAGTTCTGTGAATTAACGTGATCGAACTAATCCAGCCTTGTGCCTCTGTGTACCGCATTCTCGTGTTCATCCGCATTCAAATCTCTGTGCACCTAATCGTCTAACACGTTGTATCCTGGCGTGCCCGCGCGGGCAGTCGTTTCGCAGTTCTACGTCACCGAGGCCGAGAACGAGTACGTGATACGGGCAAACAGCGCGATCATGAAATGCAAAATACCGAGTTTCGTGTCCGAGTTCGTTCAGGTGGATCAATGGCTGGCCGACGATGGAACGATATTCACGGCCGGAAAGGAATACGGTAGGCGGAGGGCGTGTGATCGCTTTTTGGCTCGCCCTACGAGTTTGCCATTTCATAGCTTCCGTTTTTTCGTCCCTTCATTTATTTTTCATTTCCTTTCCCTCCGAACGAATCGGCCGCGTTGTGTCGAATTGTCGGAGGATAAGATGGGATTGCGAGCGTCACGCAACGATACACTTCGACTCGCGTGTTTTTGTTCGTCGCCGTCTCCCGTCGCGTCGTCGCGAATGTTTTCTGGGAAAATGCGCGTTGCAGTGGTCCAGCAGTTCTACGAGACGAGGGTCATCGACGAGTTCGTCTTGCGCGGGAACACGGCTACCTTGAAGTGCCTCGTGCCCAGCTTTGTGGCGGATTTCGTAGACGTGATCGAGTGGCTGGCTGTCGAGGACAGGTCTACATACTCCGCGAACAGCCAAGAAGAAAAGGGTACTTCTCACGTCTCGATTAAAAATGGGGTGGAGGAAAGAGAATATTTAGCGGGTCCGCGATGAGCACGACTTTAACCCTTTCAATGCTATCGACGTCTATAGGACTCGCCGGTTTCGATCATGGAGCACGAGGAGCGTTTAGTGTTGCTTGAATTTTTTTTTGGATGTTGTCTGTTAAAAATGATAAAATCTTTCTATAGTGCTAGAATGAATTATTTATTATTCGTAGGAATTGCTCTCTTGAGGATACTACCCCTATTATAAAAACATGCCCGGTTTTTTAAATTATATCTAAGTGTAAATATATAAAATATTACAGAAAATTTACTATATTAACGATTTGTGAATGGTGTGGTTTGAAGGATAACATTCGAATCAAATATGATATGCTACAGTAATAGGAACATATTCTTAACTCAAATCTGTTCATTAACAATCTAAATGTATTTTAAGAACGCATTACTAGGGACATGGATCGACTAATTTTTTCATATCTACAAATGGCATATATTGCGATGCACTATCGTTCATCCCATGCTCGAGGAAGATATTTTGTTTGCCTTCTCATTCAGGCATGAAATGTCTCGATAATTTGGATGAAATTCGGTCTGTAAATCGTCTCCTACATGAATGTGAAGATTAGCGGTGGCAAATGAAGAATATGTTATCTCTTTATACTGTATTCTTCTATACACGAAACAATTCAAAATATAATATTACATTGTAATGTTTAAAAATAATTCTTTTCTTTGCATAGCTCCTCATTTTATAGAATGACATTTCTTTCTTGTTAAATGTTCTTTTTTTGTTATAAAAGTTACCCTTTAAGAATTGATTAATAAATTCTGATGATATTTAACTTTATCATTTCTTTCCAATGAAAAATATAACCTTATTAACGCAGATATGACATCATCATGAAAAATGAAAAAAACGAAAGAAATAAAGCTATGTGAGAAAATAAGCTATCTTTACAATCATCGCAACGTATTATTATGTTTTACGCCGCATCTTTAGAATTATTTCATATGATATATAGGGAAAACAAAATCATCAGATTCTAAAAATATAACACATTCTCCATACAATATCGCTGACCCTCACCATGTGACAAGATGACTCACAGCCTGATATTTATTCCAGTCTCAGTTCGAAATATCTCACGTTTTAATGAGAAGCCGCGTCACAAGATATCTGATTCACAAATACGAAGGTGTTAACAAACCTACAAATTATCTGTAAGATTCAAAATAGGGGAAGTAACCTTAATCAGTCGCATAAGCCAAAAACGTCTCCCAATAAAAAGCATCATTGATGAGGGCTAGAGATCTCGATTTCACATGTACTTAAATACATGTGTACACGTTAATATATCTGTGTTTTAGTCTGTGCACTGTTTAACACACGAGTACTCGTGTATCGAAATACTCCGCGTTGTAATATAAGTATTTACCTAGGTATGTGTACCAGCGTAGCGAGTTGCACAGGTACGATTTTGCGTAAAATCCGTTATTTAATTAAAAAATAAAACATGACATATCCGTTAACCAGTTCACTGCGTTTGACGAGAACACCTGTCATCTTAAAAACTGAAATACTACTAATACTTTCAATAATTATTTATTTCTTCGAACAAACATGTTATTTTTTTTCATTCCATTTTAGTTGTTCATTCTAATGCATATTAGGTATATTCGTTCTGCATTCGACGTGTGTACTCGTCATTGGTTGATTTCATCGCACACTCAACGAGAGATTTTAAACACTACATTCCACAGTTGACTGGTCAAAAGTACTCGGATTTAAACACGGATATATTTGCTACTCGCGTATCATCAATATATGTTAAAAATGAAGTACTTTAGTAAGAACCGATCGGATTAAGTATGATCCTCTCGGCATCACCGAAACGTTTCTTCGAGGCGGCATGCACGACCCGCCGCCCACGTTTAATTTTGCCAAACGAGTCCTGCCGGCGTTTTTAATGGAATTAATAAATTGAATCAGCAACGTGCTCATCCCTCGCGCGAACAGAGACGGGTCTCGTTGCGTGCTTTGACGCGCTGCCCGACGCCGGGTATTATTGTCAGCTCTCTCTCTCAGGGTGCACAGGATGCACAAAGCCAACGGGGAAGGAGGGAAGCGCGGCGGCGCGGCCTCTGATAGAGTGGAACGCGCAATTTGCTCGCCTATGAGAAGCTTGTCCATTCCGTTCGCCGATGCAAACGAGAACGGAGGCAGAGCGTGCGGCTGGCAGTGGCCTTGATCCTCGTCGCGATCCTCGGGATTAGCTGCGAGACGGGATTAATGGAGTACACGGGCGTATTAACGTTCTCCGCGAACAGGGCCATCCAGTTTCGTTCGGTTGACCACCGTCCGATGGTAACGCGTATGCCGCCGTAATGGAATGTAATTCACGGTCAGTTAGTTTGCCGCGCCGTAGAAACCGATGTATCCGGTCGATCGAATTAAATCATCGCGCGCCATCCGTCGGATTTTCAATTATTCGACCGCGGAGATTTGTTTGACGTGGCGGACGGGTATTATTTTACCTTCCCCGGGCGCCAGGGAACACTTCGGTTCTGTTCGACGGCAAACTATAAAACGGGACGTGGAAATATTTTCCGTCAAATGTTTGAGATTCGATCGTCGAGCCCAGGATTGAATAGGGCGCGGGGAATCGGGGCCGACCGTTGTCCCCGTTCGTGATTTTGGATTAGATTAAGCCGGAGACTAATCAAACCGACGAGGAAATTGATGTCCGCTGGCTAGCCTAATTTCCATCGGAGCAAAGAGAGCGTCGCTCGTTGGCGGTGAAACTAGCCCGCTTGCGGGCCAACGCGCGCGGTTCATTGAAATTTTAATCGGCCAGATCAAAGCCAGCGCTGCACGGGCGCAGCTAGTCGACAATGTTGTGTTATTTTCTCTCTCCCTTTCTTTCTATCTTTATCTCCCTGTCTCTTTTTCTGCACCACTTTTTATTTGCCGCCTGTGTTCGGTTGATTCCAGTGGTCGCCCAATACTTTGAGGTTCAAGTTTACGATCAGTTCGCGATACGCGGGAACGCGGCAATTTTCAAGTGTCAGGTACCATCGTTTGTCGCCGACCACGTGGACGTGGTGGGCTGGATCGATTCGAACGGCGGCAGTTACATGGCCGATGGACAATCATACGGTATCGATCAGCATGGAGCACGAGCGGGAAATGCGACGCGAGAGGATTTTTTTATTTTTCGCGTTGCGAGAGATTGACGACGCGCGTGGGATCCCGCGATTCGCTCCTTCGCATTCGCGTGGGCGGACGTTCTTGGATTCGTGCTTGACCCAGGTCGCGAGTGCATCGAGCAATCGACAGAGATTTTTGCGGAGAACAGATTTTCGTGCTGTTCGAGATTCTTAATTGATGCTATTGACGTGTTTAGGAGATATTCGAGCAGTTTTTATATTTAGATGTAACGATGAACTGTGATTAACGCCTGTGACCTCTATGGGACTTTAAAGAAGTTTTTGAATATACGGTAATTTGATCATGCTTATTATAAATTAAAGTTGAGTAGCTTTATTTGGTTTCGGAGACTTTTTATTTTATCGCACTGTACAAGAATTTTTCGATCCGTTTTTATAGATGAAACACTAAATATCTTTAATTTCAAATTGATGAGGTAGATCCTGTGAGATTTTGAAGAAATTTTCAAATATATGATTATTTGATCATGTTTATTAAAAATAAAGCTTAGATGGTTTTGTTTGTTTGATATTTTGGCGTCACGTTAGTATGAAATATTCGTTTTAATAATTGCCATTCTTTTTTTTAATTCTTGGATAAAAAATGTGGCTTAGTTAGAGTTTATTGCAATCTTATTGGCGAGAAACGTTAGTTGCTTTAATACTAAAATAATTGGAAAGTTTATTTATCATTGTAGTAAAAATATTTCTCAATAAAGGAAATGTGGAAGCATAGTCTTTCAATTATCAGTTTCAAATAAAAACTTCACTTCTAAGAATTTTTGTAAGACGCATTGGTGTTTTATTAGTCACATACAGTGGCGATACGAGGAAAAAGTAAATGGTACGAAGAGAATATCATTATTTTCTAATATAAACTGCAGAATATAAACTACGATATAAGCGTCATACGTCAAATAAAATCAATTATTTAAGTGTGTGAATACTGAGTACTAACAGTATGATAATGTTATTTTACATCTTATACATATAAATGCAAATTTTAAACTATCTCTTACCATTCACTGCATACAATATTGTCTTATCGAATGAAATCTATCTGCTATCAATTACCACTAATAAATCTGGCATTGAATATTCATCAATTACTTACCAAATTATTTGTATTTCAAATTAACTGTGCTTTGAGAAAAATATCAAAATATTACTATTAATTAGAACAGAGAATCAATTGCGTCAGAAAATTCTTGACAACTTAAAATTTTAAAAAGAAAATCCTTCAATTTCCTTTCATTTTCTTCACCACAATGAACTTAACTTCATCTATATAGACATTTCACGCGCTGCGACTGTTTAATTCCAAAATGTTCATCAAAATCCGTCCTTCGCAATAAAAATAATCGACACGTAATCTAAATACGATGTGGACTTCGCAATCGTATCAGTCGGAACTCCTCGTGCGTCGGTACACGTAACGATTTTCGAATGGCAGACTATATTATACCGTTACAACGGAAAAAGAAATTATGCACGAATTTTTGAACGTTCTCCGTCGCGATCGATCGCGGATACGAGGCTGTATGTAGATGTGCGGCTTATGGTAAAACCGGAAACCGGTGTCTGGTTGCAGTTGTCGGGCAGCGGTATGCAGTGAACGTGATGGACGAACACGTCCTTCGGGGGAACGCCGCAATTATCAAGTGTCACATACCGAGCTTCGTCGCCGAATTCGTCGAGGTTGACTCTTGGATCGAAGACGAGACCACTGAAATATACCCTAGCGCCGATTACGGTACACACACGCCCACGTGCGCCACGCGTTCCACCTGTGCAAACAAGTGGAGCAAGTTTTTCCATTCATTCTTCTGCTAGTTTTTCTCTCTCTTTCTTTCATTTTTGTCGCCACGCTGTGACCGTGTCGGTCGCGACGCGACGCGATGCTTTTCCTTTCCCGCGGTTGAAACGATTCGGTAACGCGGATTGGTTACTCGCGAGTATACACGCTCCATTTGGCCTCAGGCCGCCGGGAAAATGAGCCCGCGATCGTTCTCATTCATAACTGCGCGAGGAGCATTGCCGCCCATGACTGCGTACGCGAAAGCGTTTCAAGGATCCGAACGTTAACCCGATCGTTGCCTCGTAACGAACAACGTCCCTCTGCGATCCCCGGCAGAAATCGTTTTACCGTAAACACGGGGGAGGCGAAACGCAACAGGTTCGATCGTCGGTATACGGGGTGTGAAAGATTTATTCGTCTGCCCGGGAAGCGGTTCAGTAGCTGAAGTGTTGCTCGATTAATGTGGAAGAGTTGCGAGGAACGATCCTTCACGGCCTGTATATCACGATCGGAGAATGCGGGGCAACGGAAATGAGCAGACGAATGATAAAGTGGGCTGCAGGAGATGGCGAGAAGTAAATATATGGGGCAGAATATCGATCAGCGAGATGGTCCGAGTTATTTTCGCGCGAAGCGTCGTTCTTTTTTAAGAGCGTGTTCGTTCCATCGGCCTCCGCTTGAATTTCGATCGCGCTCCTCGAAAAATCGGCCCGACGACGGAACACGCGTACCGGCGCGCGATGAAATCGTTCGAAAGCCCGGATGCCCCTCGTTTCAGAAATTGAACGCCGAACTATTCTTGAACTGTTTCGTACGACGTTGACTGCCGCTGCTCGCGCTGTCCCAGACATCCTTCCCTTTCCGTTTCTACTTCGCCAGTTCCGCAAACTCTTTCGAACCTCTCCTTCCCTGTGTGCTCAGTATACAAATAAAATGGTTGTGGTTGCTTGTAGTCGATGTTGTTTGCATGCAACCGGCTCGTTCGTCTGTAACCGGAAGTCAGTGTGAACGGAATGTGATCGTACAATAAGTAAATTTCTTATACCGAAACTGTTGTTCATTCGAGAACTTCGAAAGGAAGGGGAGAGTCCCGTACATTTATTAATCGAAGAACTTTAAACAAGATTTGTTTCTCTTGTATGAAAAATTGATAAGATCGATTTACTTTTCCCTATGTTAGTATCAAAATGTATGTAGAATGGTAAATAATTTCTTGAGAGTTTTCTTTGTAAGAATTTTCCAAGATCTTATTAGGAGCTTTTCGAGCGTGACGAACCCCACCTTGGGAGTCCTAGAATCAAAGGAGTTCGATGCTCCGTTACGACTTATAAAATGAAAGTCTGAACTTTTAATCCCTTTGTCGATCTCCGTTTAACGTATGTAATTCTTTCTGACTTGTAACTAATTTTCTTAGTCCTAACAAATTCTTGAATTCTTTTAATTGTCATCTAACTCCTTTAGCCAACGCGTCGCGTTTAATGGCGCAGTCAAATTACGCGAATAACTTTCGTAATCGATACTTCGCAGTACAAATACACAGAAGCGAATCCCATCGCTAACCATTAGCGTGGCGCAAGGGGTTACAAGGATTAAAGGGAATATCGCGAGCGATCGGCTCCTTACATTTCACGGACACCGATTGAACAATGCGAGCAGCCCCGATATTCCCTCAGCTGTTGTTTGACGAACGAGCCGGAACGGCCAAACGATTCGTCGATCGGTGAAAGCACGAGATAGATAAAGAGTCCGTCGCTATTCAACGTTCAACGAACTTGGCCAAGGTAGTAGAAGGTAATAGAGTGCATGCGGGCCAATGTATTAATCAAGACAGCATTGTACTCGTCGGCGCACGGTTGCATGTCGTGTATGTGTGTGCGCGCGCGCGCAGATACAGACCAGGGGACGAGTATCGTGCGGTCGTCGGGATAATTGAATATTTCTGATCGCTGTAACTGTCTCCGCGGGAAGCGTAAAATATCGTTCTTCTGGATTAAACTATTTCAATATCGATACCATTCGAGTCTCCTCTTTGATCAATCAATTATCCCGAGGTAGAAAGTTACACGAGGCGAATCAAGAACGGCGAGAATTAATCTGTGTTTTTTTTCCCCGCCATATTGGCCATCGTAGACGGAAAATACTTGGTACTGCCTTCTGGAGAACTACATATCCGTGACGTTGGACCTGAAGATGGATACAAGACTTACCAATGCCGTACCAAGCATAGACTTACCGGAGAAACAAGACTGTCTGCTACCAAGGGACGACTCGTCATTACCGGTAAGTGATACGCACAAAAAAATGTCACATTTATTAACACTGAAACCACGATTCTGATTCGTTAGATTTTCCTCTCATTAAGTGCTTTTTCTTCGAGTGTCCTCATGGGCGGAAGTATATTGCAATGAGAAGACCATTGTTGTCTTCTTCTGTTTTTTTAGACAGTAATCAGAATCGTGTTTTTAAGTTTCGAACCTGGGCACGAAGTTCGTGTGCAATCCAAAATAGATACTTACGTTTCGTGTTTTCAATGAAATTAACCGATCTACAGTTGGTTCGATCAATTTCTTGTAACGATGCAGCGCGGAATTTCTTCGACGCAAAACACGTACATGAATCGTTCCGTGCATAAAATATTTAAATCTACAACGTGCGTACATTGAAACTGATCACTCTTTATATACGAAGCGCAGCGTCTCGTGAATATCTGTCTGGGTTCGAAACAACCGGCCGAGGCAATTGATTCTCTGCGAGCCGGAGTGAAGCGATTCAGTCATACAATGTTGGAGTGTAATTACCTTAACAGTCGAGTTATGTTTTGTAATGGTGTACCTTGCAGAATCAATTGTTCTCGGCTACGTAACCACGTCAACGTACGTGCGTAATCACATAGTCCAACGAGCTTGATCGTATTAATTCATTCAATTCCGGGGGAGTGTGTCCATCGATCCCTCGTGTACAATTTGTGTTCACGAAATTATCAGAAGTAGGGAAAATGATAGGATTAACAATATATGTCCGAGAGGATCAAGCTCGTTGGCAAACCTGAATGCTGGGACAGGGTACCCCTGCGGGCACGCGCCACCGCCCGCCCATAATTGTTCACTCTTGGCATGATCGGTTTCGGACGAACATCTCGATGAACGAGAGAAAACCGTGAGAAAAAGAAACGAACAAAATCGAACGAAAAGCTAAACATTTGTGCCGACGCTTTGCGACGCCCTCACGCGATCTCCGGGCTCTGTCCTTCGCTCTCGCGTGGTAAGTTCAACGTCACTCTAATAACTTCGCACGATCGTCGATCGACTCTGGACACTCGTGGAAATAGACGCGATACGCTCGACGCACCTGCTGACTTTTAATGATTCCGCTGTCTCGCGAGTTCTCTCGACAGCTCTATAGAAAAACCACGAAGGGAGTCTAAGAGCTCCGCTGGGTGCGGATCTACCCTATCGTTGAAAATATCGGCGAACGATCGGCGGGTCTATCGACTCGAGTCGAGAGACTTGCGCAACGTTCGCCCAAGACACGGTAACGAGGATCTTGTAGGGTCCGAGCAGGGAACCCACGGACTCAAGCGACTCCGCAGTCACAGACTTTTCGTTGTGAAACAGAACCCGTGGGAAGCGTACGGCCAAAGTTTCCTTCAATGGACAACATAAACGGACTTTCGACGGAAACGAAAGCCAGTTTTCCACTTCTGTGCCCCGCCCAAGGATTCCCGGTACCGGTTCATAGGTACGATATTTCTGATCACCGACGCGTGGAATGAACGATTCGTACTATTGCTAAGTAAAGGGATTCTGGAACCGAGTGGGCAGCAGCGAGACCATTCGGGAGACAGGCAGGGAGTTGATCTTTCCGGCGAACTTTTTCGAACATTTCCTGCGACGAGTCTCGACTAGGAACTTCCCGCATACGCTTTTAAGTGTTCTGGAAGTATTATAATTACAAGGGAAGACATTGATACTGTAACGTTCGGATTTTGATGAAATTTAGGTGGAGCAGTTGTTGAAGAAGTTGATATTTCGCTTTTATTAAAAATTGTTCGTGTTGCGGGAGTTTCGTAGCCGAGGATTAACAATTCTTTTGGAAAATCTTGAAGGTTAGAAGGTATAGGAAGCAAAATCTTTTCGAACTGACTTTAACTGGGAATTCGATCACACACAAAATATTTAAGGTCATTTAAGTAATAGAATATTAAAGTAACTTTCTAATTAAATGTTAATCGACTTTCACGTAAATTCATGTACGTGTTCCACGAACTGAAATTGGGGGTATAAGTTTAAACAATTTTAACTTTGTTCATCGTGTAATAGGAGTTTGCGAAAGTTCGTGTCACTACTTTTTTAATTTTGTATGTGCTTCGGATAAACGAATTTAATGAAAATGCAACGGAAAACATTGTAAACAGAATTCAAATATCTCTTCAGTAAATAATACACATCAGTTTACATAGAAATCGATTAATATTTAATTAGAAAAACTACTTAAAGTGCCAATACTTTTAATATATTACCTAAACAAATAAAATCTTTTAGAAATTTTATGTAATATAATATCTTTCATATAAATTTCATCAAAATTGTCATGTATGGGTTTGCTACGTTTTCTTGCGAGTTTCTCATTTTCTCAACCTGTTCTTCAAAGACCTCTCCAAGTAGTGGACAGATTCGAGTCACATATCGATTAACATAAAAAATTGAAAGAGGTGGCTGTTGGAATGGTCTTGTTCCCCTCAGGGGTTACCCGCTCTTCAAAGATCTTGAACAGGTCGCTTAAGTTTTGGCTCGTGTATCCCTCAGAACCCGTGGGCAGCGTTCGTCCGAAGATTCCCTCGACGGACGACATACGTGGATTCAGGACGTTGGTGAACGGATCACAAGCTTTGATTTGTCCTGCACAGGGGTTCCCCGTTCCCTCAAACAGGTAGAGAAACGAATTTCAACCAAGAAACGAGAACGCGAAAGATAGCTGTTGTCTATTATCAGCGGTTGGAAACCGAATTTCCTCTTTGATTGCATAATTAGAGCCGGTTGGCAGCGTGAGACCAAAATTCCCGACCATCGATGACTCCAGGAGTTTCCGAACAGTCAAGGACGGCTCGGTTACCCTCCTCTGTCCCGCTCAGGGGTTCCCTACCCTCGTGTTCAAGTAAGTTCTACCTCGTCATGATCGGTTCTACATTGCGCTTTTCTTTTCATACTTCTTCTGGGTACCTTAACGCAGAACCCGTGGGACGCGTCCGGCCGAAATTCCCTTCCGTGAGCAACTTAAACGGTCTGACAGTCGTTACAAATGGGACACTGCCCCTTCTCTGTCCCGCGCAGGGATATCCGGTGCCGAGTTATAGGTACGGTCTCGATGTAGATTTTGTAGAGACGATTGGAGATCGTTTTTCAGAGTTTCCTGTAATAGAAATCAACGATTAACACATTGTTGACCGGCAATGTCACCTGTTATTATTCCACAATTAAATATGAAAATGAAACAAATTAAATAAACTTCATTATACTTTATTTATACATAGTCAATTGAAATAAAACTTTGGACATATCTTGTACATAAATTTTAATATTTTATTTTTGCAATAGTCTGTATTGACCTGCACTTCACAAATTGAGATAGCTGATACAAATATAAATACGAGTTTACTCGTGACGGATCAACATTTGAATATGAATACACGAGTTAACTTGTAACTGGTCAACGATATGTTAACATAAGTAAAACACACTGATTTGCCTGGAAAATATTTTATTTAACTTCTTGACTGCAATGCATTCTATGTTATAGTTACTTTCAAAAATTGAATTGCGTTTTACGAACGGAAAAGCATGGAGCAGTGATTTGGTCAGTGGCTGTGCAACATGTAGGAACATACATATGCATTTCTGCATTAGTTTAGGAAAATGGTACATGTTTTAAATTCACTAAATTGTACCGAATGTATATCTTATATACTTCTATCACTTGGAATATCTTTGTTATTTTTAAAGATATGAAGAAATTTGTTTACTACAATTGCATGATAAATAGAGAACCCTAAGACTCCAGTAATAATTTTCTGCTAGGTTGAAATATTATCTATTTGTGTTGACCCTGGTTTGTAATCTAGGTGTTCGAAGTCGTATCCGTTTGTATTGACGCAATCATCGAAATATTGACGTCTTATCTATACACGTCTTATCACATCCGGTTTCAATACTGATTAATTTTGCCAATATGGCAAAAATGCTTTAACTGATAGTTTTGTATTTTGTAAATTGTATTTTGTAAACGAAAATTTTACCGATAGAAAATATGAAAACTGTCTTACAATCTTACTATTTTCGGCACTTTGTTTCTGTTTTCTTCTTTATATTCAAGTCTAATTAATGTTATATAGCACAAGCTTGTGCCAATTTATTCAAATTATCGAGAACAAAAAAGTGTGACGTGCTACAAAAATAAATTTAGTTCTCCTTGAATTTTCTGAAAATTCTTCCCCATGAAAAAGTAACTTAAATATAGCTACTAACATGTTATGTTTCTCTCGTTATTATACAACTTTTCCGAACAAAGTTTTCTCATATTTCTAAAAATACCGGAAATCGACGATTCCAAAGAGGAACATAATCCATAAAAGTACCGCTGCATTGTTCCACGGTATACTTTGTTCCCACGATGTTTCAATCCCTCAATTAATCGACCGTTTAGTTTCATCCGTGAGACCAAAGTTCTCGAGTATCGTAGACGATGCGCGTCGATGTGCTCCGCTTAAGGGCTCCCTGTCCCCGTGCGCAAGTTAACTCCGAAGCGAGACTAGCGAAACCAGATCGCGTGGTGGATCCGCACGGCTGCTTTCATCCGGCAATGATTCGCAGAACCCGTGGCGAGCTCGCGTCCAAAACTCTCCAGCACGATCAACTTGATTGGACTCACGACGCAGACGAACAGGAGTTTGCCGCTTTTCTGCCCCGCACAAGGATTCCCTCTTCCGTCCTATAGGTAGGATGAAAACTCGACGAAATCTTTCGAAGTTCACGTGAATACGCTTAAGAATCTGTTAGTTTCTGAGAGTTCATTAGCTGTGACAAAATTACGTCTCGTGTCTCTTTGTCTCGGCGGGATCAAAGCCATCGAATGAAACGAACTTGCTTACACTTCATTTTCTTGCCACGTGAGCAAGACAAGCGTTGTTAGTATGAGAACAGCGAACGCGGCTCTGTCAACTCGTGTTCTCCCCAGTGGGTTCCCTGTCCCCATTCCCCTGAATATCGAATATATCACTGTTGATCCTTACACGCTTCTTTCCCCTGGGACTTTACATAGAACCTGTGGGGAGCGTGCGGCCCAAGTTCCCGACAATGGATAATTCCAGAGGATTCGTCTCTAGTCTCGGAGAAACGCTAACCCTGCTGTGCCCTGCTCAAGGATTCCCCGTTCCTTCGCATAGGTGGGCTAAGAATTGAAAGTATTAATAGTCCTCGAAGAATTCCAGGTGTGATCTTTAATTATTCTGGGACCAGATACGGTTACCCTGTCCCTTTATTCGGCAAATCGAAATGAACGCGATGCTCACGTCTACGTCGGGCTTCTTCTTATTTAGAGCCGGTTGCTACTACAAAACCGAAATTCCCGATGACGGACGTTTCGCGCACGTACACGGTCTACTGCGATCAACCGCTCACTTTGATGTGTCCAGCCCAGGCTTTCCCCGTTCCAGCTTTCAGGTACAAAAGAAGGGAGAATTCTTATGAATAGAGCCGGTCGCGAAAGGTAGACGCGAATCGATACGCGTTATCAAAGAAACCAAGGACGCGGAAGGGAACGCAGCGATAGCCGACGCGACTTCGCTCGCGGACGCGTTTTTCGTTGCCCGTTTCTCGCTGCTCCGGTACGTCTTATCTCTCTTGAAGCTCGTTGCGAGCATTCGGCTGAAAATGCCGCCGTTGGCGGAGTCGCAGACGTTCGAAACGGCACTTGGTGGTGCGATGACGCTACTATGTCCTGCCCAAAGGTTTCCCGTCTATCAGGTAACGCGTAGAATCTTCGTTTCACATATCGGCTGATTTTACCGTTAGAACCAGCATCCAGCTCTCGACCTCAAATATCCGGGCCAACTGACCTCCTGCGATTCAGCGCGTCTTCGTTGAAGAGTGTCACCCTCCTCTGCCCTGCGCAAGGATTTCCTCTTCCTATTTATAGGTAGGCAGTTGAATGTGATCTAAGACGAAAGATCTAAGCCGGGGAACCTAGATTCTCGGTGTTGAAATGTCGCGAAAGCGATTCCAAGGTTCCGACCCTCGGACCAGACAGCGAAAAACTCTGGTACGGTTCAGAGATGAAGTCGGCGCGTAATAGTTAAACTATGCATAGATGCTCTATTGACGGCGCTAGAGCATCCACGACCCTGTATGGCAAAGGGGGAGTCCCTATTCCAGCATATTCAAAGACTCTTCCGAGCATCCTCTTTGCGCACGACCTTCGAGCTGTTCGTCTCGCGTTCTGTTTTTAGAACCCGCCTCGAGCACCAAGCCACAGTTCCCATCTGTGAACGACGTCGGATTACGCGTAACGAAAGGCACGGGCTTCTCGTTGCTTTGTCCTGCACAGGCGTTTCCAGTCGCCACGTTTAGGTAGGTCGAAATATATCCGTCGGCCCGGCTGCTCACCGCATCCCAGAGAAAAATAGACGATTCTCTCTCTTTCTTACTCTACGCGTCTATTCCTCCATTTCACCCTGTCCCAGTATATTAGGCGCAACGACCGAGAAGAATCTCTGGATTTTCTCGTCACCTCCTTGGGAATGAAAGCGAGCGTCGCTCGCGATACACTTCGGGAGCTAACTTTCTTCCAGTGTGCGTTGCATCGGTCATTGTTAGTCGGTCGGGAGTATCATCTTTTTCACGCCACTTTCCCTTGTAGAACCAGTCGGCTTCGCAAAGCCGAAGTTCTCGACTATGGACAAGAGTCGAACGTTTGAAGTCCCGGAAGTTCAAGGCGTTCCGATACTGTGTCCCGCCCAGGCGTATCCTGTCCCAGTCTTCAAGTAAGTCGAGAAGGCGCGTAGGATCAACTCTAGAAATCCCCTGGCCGGTGATAAGCTAGTTTCTCGTGTGACGCAGAACCGCTGTCGAGCTCTAAGCCCAAATTAACTGCGCTGGACGTGAAATCGACGAATCCCAGCACGATGCGCGGTACGATTACCACCCTACTGTGTCCCGTTCAAGGATTTCCTGTGCCAGCATTCAGGTAAATCGTTGTCGCCGCCAATGGTTGTTGAGCGAAGGGAGACTGTCGCCGGTAGGTAATTTCGTTACAGTCGATCCTCCTCGGAAACAACGAGCAGGCCAATGAACACCTTTTGTTCGACGGTGGAGTAGTTCTTCCGTCACCGTGAATAGTTTAATCGATATCGCACTTCAACCGGTCTTTCTTTTCCGTGAATTCGATGGTATCGCGATCCGGTTCCTCGGAGCGCCAACAAATCGATGCCGGCAATTAGCGGATCGCTATCGGAGGCCCTGTCCCAGTGACTCGGGAGCAAACATTACAGTACTGGTTCGCTTCTTCTCGTAGAACCGGTGGGCAGCACTAAACCGAAATTCCCTATGACGGAAAATTCACGCACCTTGACCACGTATACAGTGAAACGTGGTTTGCCCTTGACATTGCCCTGCCCGGCGCAAGCGTTCCCAGTTCCAGCCTTCAGGTACTCCAAAAGCTATACATCAATCTCTTTTTCTCGATCGGAGTGTACTGGTCATTGGTCTCATGAGAAGGTTCAGGGGATACGGAGCAAAAAGGTTTCATTCGGTTTCCATTCGATCCGAGCGGTTACCCAGTTTCAGCGTCAGGGAATCCAATTAGTCGATTAGTCTTCACGAAACTGTCATTTGGTTTTCTTCGTTAGAGCCTGTGTCCAGCGCGAAACCAAAGTTCAC